ACCAAATCTCACTTCACACTCCAAGATTTGATTAGCTGTGAAGAGATGTTCCCTGTGCAACCTCAGAGTGAGTAAGGAAGAGAGTGCAAGTGAGACACACAGGGCTGATGGGGTAGACCTGATATAAATTTGCTAACCAATTTCCCTCCTTCAGACACAGACTAGCTTGCAGAAAAGGGATAGAACCTGTCTTGTAATTCACAGCTAGCTAATGTGTTCTCCAGATGTTTCTGGACCACAGCTACCATCCTTGAGCATGTTGCCTGGGACTGATTGGAGCTAGGGTTGAATAAACCCTGGGTGGCATCCAATTGGCAGCCCTGTTCTAATTCTCTGTGATGATAGATGCTTTGGGGTTGAGAGATTTTAGGGGGAGATTTTGCATTTTGTGATTATTCCATAATTTTCTCAATTGTCTTGTGATGCTTGTCAAATAGAGAAGCAGGGCAAAGTGAGGCAATCACTTGAGGTGGCACTTGGTGGTTCCATTTCAAAGTTGCTCTGGGTCACATTTCGGGGGGGGGAGCCAAATAATAAGGGATAATGATGGTGGTGATAATGCTGGGGATGGGTGGAGAGCAACCCTCTGGCTGCTTCATCTCACACACCACATCCAGTCCCCAAGATTGTTGAGGCAGACACAGTTGAATCAAACTGAGACAATAAGTCCTCATGTGAAGCAGAAGACAATTGGAAAGAAGGGTCTGTGATTCTCCTATTTTCTTCTCTCTGGGATTGGGTTTATTTCTCTTTCTGCAAGTATGTGTATTTCAAAAGTCTGCCCAGCCTCTTGAACCAGGTTGCCTGGGTCTGGTTCCTGTTGGAGGGAGATCTCTGGAAGCTTATTGGCATTTTGTAATATGTGTGTTTATTTGCAAAAATACAAGCTGAGCATAGGTGCTGGAATAGCTTAAACACCCTAATAGACTGTCAAGGACCACTGCACCCGCCAACATCAGGTTCACAGGGAGCTATCCAGTACTCCCCCAAACCCTGTTAACTCCCAAGTCCCAAATTCATCTCTTGCCTTCTCTCTGTGTATGTTTTCCCCCTCCAACTGCAGTTTCTCCTCTTAGGTAGGCATCTCAATTGCACAATTCTTAGCTAGAGTGGGGAGCAGAGCTTCTGGGCACTTGCAGAAGACCTGTTTATTGAGCAGTCAGCCCAATTCATTTGTAATTTGGTTAGGCAACATTACATCAAGGAAGTGTTGCCACATACTTCCCTCTGCATTTTTCTTATCAGAAAAAAAGTTAAATATTTGGGGGGAAGCATGTCTAGAGTGCAAGATTTCCCAAACAACTGTAAATGTACAATCTGAATTCGCCATAAAGTAACTGAATCCTACCTGAAGATGATGACACCCTGAAAGGGCCCAGAAAGAGATCTTAATCTTAGATATTGCTTGGACCACACAAAAAGCCAGCTATTGATAGCAATCTCCCAATCACCTTATTAAAGGAGACATTTGACATTTGTCAGGACTAATAAGGTATTATGTGGCAGTTTTATTGGTTTCATTAGCTCTCTCTTATCCCCATTCCCTACCCCCAATGTATAATATGGATAGAATTTTAAAATGTCCTGCTGCAGAACTACCTGGGTCCTCAAAAGGTAAAGTATAATTTTATGACATAAAGTTTGCATTCCAGTGCACACTTTTCTAGGACTGTGGTGTTAATCATGTTTGCTAGAGTTACTGAAGATACCTTAAAAACTGCTTCATTAGGAGAGTGTTAAATGATACCCACTGCCATCGTGGGTGATCATTAGAAGAGTTTTCTGTGTAAGGACTTGAATACAGTGGGACCTCAGGTTAAGAACTTAATTCGTTCTGGAGGTCCGTTCTTAACCTGAAACAGTTCTTAACCTGAGGTACCACTTTAGCTAAGGGGGCCTCCTGCTGCTGCTGCGCCGCCACCGTACAATTTCTGTTCTCATCCTGAAGCAACGTTCTTAACCCGAGGCACTATTTCTGGGTTAGCAGAGTCTGTAACCTGAAGCGTCTGTAACCTGAAGTGTCTGTAACCCGAGGTACACTGTATGTTGTGAAAATTTAGTGAAGAAGGCATCCCACTACTAATTATGTTAGCCTATCTATAAGGGTGCTTAGAACAGTTCCTTGTTGTGCTAGTGACAAGCAGTGTCTTGGCTCTTATTGATGCTTTTTGGTTTTATGGTATTAATTAGACTTTATACTACCTTACGATATTGCGTTTGAAAGTGCTGTTTATGAATATGTAAATAAAGAAAACAGAACTTGTTACCCTCATCCCGTTTAAAGCGCTGAGTAGTTCCAGGGATATAGTGCTTAACTGGATCTAGTTTCTATTGGAAGTTACTAGAGGTTTATTGGCATTTTGTAAAACTTGACTTTGTAGTTCCCTAGCCAATTGTGCAGGGGCAGACCTTGGTAATCTTTCATAATAAGAGGCCTTTATGAGGCCACATTTGGCACCCCCAAATGTATATTATTATTTTGCATCCCGTCAAACTGATATAGAAATATAGTGAACTGGATGCTGCAAAAATGGGAAATTGCTAAAATGAAATTGACAGTTTTACTGATTCCTACACCTTGTATATTCTGTAGACACCTTGACATTCTGGAGACCAGATATATAAAATGATTGAATGGACAGACAGACAGAGAGATATTACACTGTATACCTAAAATGTTGTTGCTATTGACATTCAACCTGTGAAAGTTGGCAGTCCCAGGCAATTGCTGTCAGTGTCCAAAAGCTTACACCAGTAAATGCCTCCAGGCACCTATACAATATGTGTAGTTTGTATGGCAGAAGAGTGGGAAAATAAAAGTCTTCAGATATTGATCAATTGTATCTGGAAATTCAAACGTTCACATGATTTTGAACTTTGGGCCTGATTTTGGACTTTTTGAACTGTAGGGGTAATGAGTGTCAATTGGCAACTATGCTTAAAAACCACCTAGAAGCCCCATCACGGGTCAAAGAAACCAGGCAGGAGTCAGGGGTGGCAGGACTAACAGGGCCCTGTAATGTATCTGTTTAATAATAATAACAATAATAACAACAACAACAACAACAACAACAACAACAACAATAATAATAATAATAATAATAATAATAAAATTATTTATATCCCGCCCTCCCCAGCCGAAGCTGGGCTCAGGGCGGCTAACAACAATAAAATAGTGCAACATTCTAGAAACGTTTCATTATAAAATTAATTAAAATCAAATCAAATTGATGGCAACCCTTAAGATAAAGTTATGTGAATATTGCCAAAGGAGGGAGTCAGGCTGCGCCCTGACCAAAGGCCTGGTGGAACAGCTCTGTCTTGCAGGCCCTGCGGAAAGATGTCAAGTCCCGCAGGGCCCTAGTCTTTTGTGACAGAGCGTTCCACCAGATTGGAACCACAGCCAAAAAAGCCCTGGCTCTGGTTGAAGCCAGTCTAACCTCTCTGTGGCCTGGGACCTTCAGGATGTTTTTATTTGAAGACCGTAAGTTCCTCTGTGGGACATACCATGGCTTTGCCAGGAAAGGAACAGCTTGGCCACAGCCATGCAAGCCTTGGCAACTTCTAGAATGCATTATTGCATGGGTAGGCAAACTAAGGCCCGGGGGCCGGATCCAGCCCAATCATCTTCTAAATCCAGTCTGCGGATGGTCAGCATGTTTTTGCATGAGTAGAATGTGTCCTTTTATTTAAAATGCATCTCTGGGTCATTTGTGGGACATAGGAATTCATTCATTATCCCCCCCCCCAAAAAAAAAGTATAATCTGGGGGTCTGAGGGACAGTGAACCGGCCCCCTGCTGAAAAAGTTTGCTGACCCCTGCATTATTGCAATGCACTCTATGTAAGGCTACACTTGAAGCTGCAGCTAGTGCAGAATGCTGCATCCCAGCATTTGGCCAGAGCACCTCCTTATGAACATACTACAATAGTGCTGAATGCTGTGCACTGTCTGTCATTCTATTACTAGGCCAGAATATTACTGAGCTAACCAGGCAATATCTCAACTCCCCATCAGACACCCAGAAGAAGAAGAAGAAGAAGAAGAAGAAGAAGAAGAAGAAGAAGAAGAAGAAGAAGAAGAAGATCAGCTCTGAACAACTGCAAAGCATAGTTCAATCCTTGCTTACATTCTATCAGTGATGGTGAATTCATTTAGGAATCTGCCTTAGTTAGTAACTAAAGTCATCAAAAGCAGGGGGGAAGGATCACTTTAGCAGTATTTATAAGAATGGGGCAAAATGTTACCAGCCTGAAGATGGTGAAGAAGAGGAGGTTGTGGCCAAAAAATAAGGTGGTGTTTTGGACAGTTTGTTTTAAGCATGAACACTGAGCACATTCTACCCTGATTTAAGTTGTGTATATGCCACCTGCATTTTAGGTACAACTGCATGCTTTTAAAAGCCCCTTGGAGGTAACAGTATTATTGTTAGTGAATAAAGTGCTTAAACAACCTGGATCCAGGTTACTCAAAGGACCAAATTTTCCCTAGTGTACAGGTTAGAACAGTATAATCACTTGGCCAAGCCTTCCTGACTGTCTCACAGTTATCTCCTGTTGATTTATTTTCTTTACCAACTGAAAGTTTTTATGGTAGTGGTCCATCTCTTGATAATATTTTTAGCTTCACCAAGCACTTTTAGAGAATTGATTAGATTCAGTCTTGATAATCTGATCCATGTTTTGTGATTTAGAGTTGAATTCAATGGTAGTCCTATTCAGGGGAGAGCCAATGAAAATGATGGGCCATTCATTTGAGTGTGTCTACTCTAAGTAGGAATAGCATTGGAGACAGCATTTATTTATTTATTTATTTGGTTGGTTGGTTGGTTGGGTGGGTGGTTATAGCTGGCTATTCCCCACCCCAAGCAGCCAATTTTATAAGGTTTTCTTATTTTATTTTGCACCCCCATGATCTGCTTTAATGAATTGGCCACTTATCAAAATTCTTATTAAATAATTAAATAATTAAAAAGGCTTCTTTCCACTTTTGCAGGCAAAATGGATCACCTGAAAGGAAACTACACCAGAGTCAATGAATTCCTCTTTGTGGCCCTTTCTCCAACATGGCAGTCCCAAGCCACCCTCTTTGTGTTCTTCCTCCTAGTCTATGCAGCCACCCTAGTAGGAAACAGCCTGATCATGCTGACAGTGACCTCAGACCCTCGACTGAGAACACCCATGTACTTTCTGCTTGGGAACCTCTCATTTCTAGACCTTTGCTACTCCCATGTCACAACCCCTAAGATGTTGGTGGACTTTTTGTCTGAGAAGAAGAGCATCTCCTTTGATGCCTGCATGGCCCAGCTCTTTTTCCTCCATCTCTTGGCCGCTGCTGAGATGTTCCTCCTCACTGTCATGGCCTATGACAGGTATGTGGCCATTTGCAAGCCTCTGCACTATCCCAATATCATGAACAGGGAGCTCTGTAGCTGGCTGGTGGCAGCCTCTTGGACTGGGGGCTTCATCCACTCCATGGTTCAATTACTCCTCACTATAGGCCTTCCCTACTGTGGGCCCAACCAATTGAACAACTTCTTCTGTGATGTCCCACCGGTCATCAAGCTGGCCTGCACTGACACCTACATCACTGAGCTTCTCATAGTCTCCAACAGTGGCCTCATTTCAGCCAGCTGCTTTGTCCTTTTGGTGATCTCCTATGCAACCATCCTGGTGAGGATCCGCTCTCCTGAGGGACGACGCAAAGCCCTCAATGTCTGTGCCTCCCATCTAATTGTGGTGACATTGTTCTTTGGACCCTGCATCTTTATCTACACTGAGCCTTTATCTGCTATCACAGTAGACAAGCTGACCCATGTTCTTTACAATATCAATCTCATCACCCCTATGCTGAATCCATTAATCTACACTCTGAGAAACAAAGATGTGAAGTCAGCAATAAGGAAGCTGACAGGGAAGGAAACAATTTCTGATGGGAAGGTAGAGACGTGATTCTAAAGACTTTCACAGAATATCCTCCAAAGAAACTGTCTAAACAGCCATGCTTTTGCTTTTATGGAGAAGGGTGGATAACAAATTTAAATAATAACAACCGCAACAACATACAAATCTAACCTGCAAATGCTTAATCAACAATGACATTTCATTTTAAAACTGATATTATAGCACTTTGGTTTACTTTTCCTATGCAGAAGCTTGAGATTGAATCACAATTATTACTCCCTGACAATGATGAAAACGTCCTATGCAATCAAATAAATAAAGAGATCAAGCACATGAAAATACAACATGTAATCAAATAAACTGAGTATGCATATTTAACCAAAATATCAATGTTCAAATAAATAACATTAATATACGGGATAATACAATGGTGTTGTGTGTGTGTGTGTGTCTATGAATGAAATGCTGTATGTAACTTAAAAATATAATATAGTTGGTGAGCTTCTCCATAGACCAGAAGACTAGGAGTGGCTCTGCAAATATTTTGGGGTGGGGTGGGTGAGAGAGTCAGCAGTGAAATCTGAAGTGGGTAACATAAAGACATACAGACATAATTTTATTTGTAGCATCACAATGCTTGGATAATTGTCAAGGTTTAAACCCTCCCACCCAGCCCAACTCTGTGATGGAAAATAATGGCACCTCTACAGAGCCCTAACCTTGACATTTTCCAATTTGAGTAAAGTGGAAAAGGAAGACCAAGAGAACAAAGGAAGCAGTGGGAAAATCCATTTAAGGTATAATATGCAGATTGACTCATGAGAACAGTGTCATCAATAAGCTACAGTGTTAACCCTCTCATCACTGATTTCATCTGGCAAAGTTACAGAGGTGGAGGCTTAGTCATTGTTTCAGAAACTATACCTCCCCCCAAAAAAATCACTCTCTCTATACCCAATCCTCACTAGGGACTACATCTTTTTAAAGTCAAAACCATTTATTCTCTTTACCCACTTCTGTCTGTATCATTCTGGTTTGTATCTCACCCCAAAAACCCACCTGTCCTGCCCATTTTTCCCTTCAGCTATGTGGTTCTCTGGCACCACCCTCAGATCTACTTCAACCTCCCTGTACCCCACTCTCTCTAAGTGGTAGAGCAGTGAACTGGATTGCTATTAGACCTTTTAAAAATTATTTATTTTTCTGCCTTCACAGATACTGAATGAGTCGCACCTCAGTCAGCAGTCACCCACAATTTTATTGATCACAGAGATAATAAATGAATTTACGATAGTTCAGTGCAAAGGAGCATATGGTTTCGGTTACATACTTAAGATATGACTTCGGTTCATATGAACATTCCTACCTACTCTACCATTCTAAATATATCCAGGCTAAATATACACTCACCATTTGTCCCAAAACCATGACCATTAATAACACCAACTCCACTCTATCTCACTAATGCTGCCACAGCTCCCCAAGCACTTGACCCCACCCCATGAAACTCCAACTACCACTGTTCCTTTCAACTAAAACCCACCAGTAGTCAATTTCTCTATCTAAATTCTTATCCAGTTACTATTTACTTCCAACATTCCAAGCACAATCTCTCCCTCTCCCAGCCTAACACCTTAATTCAACTATTATACAACCTGAAAAAAGAGACAATGCACACACTTTTGTAAACCAAGAAGATCATTAATAAACATTACAGTGGTACCTCTGTTTACATACGCTTCAGGTTACATAAGCTTCAGGTTACAGACTCCGCTAACCCAGAAATAGTGCTTCAGGTTAAGAACTTTGCTTCAGGATGAGAACAGAAATTGTGCTTCGACGGCGCAGCAGCAGCAGGAGGCCCCATTAGCTAAAGTGGAGCTTCAGGTTAAGAACAGTTTCAGGTTAAGAACAGACCTCCGGAATGAATTAAGTACTTAACCCTGAGGTACCGCTGCATTTGAAATGCACTGCACTGGCTTCCAGTGCATGTCCAGAAAGAAAGAAAGAAAGAAAGAAAGAAAGAAAGAAAGAAAGAGAGTTTGGATTTGATATTCCGCTTTTTCACTACCCTAAGGAGTCACTACCCAAAGGAGTCCCAAAGCAGCTAACAATCGCCTTTCCCTTCCTCCCCCACAACAAACACTCTGTGAGGTGAGTGGGTCTGAGAGACTTCAGAGAAGTGTGATTAGCCCAAGGTCACCCAGTAGCTGCATGTGGAGGAGCAGGGAAACGAACCCAGTTCACCAAATTAAGAGTCCACTGCTCTTAACCATGACACCAGAAAGAAAGAAAGAAAGAAAGAAAGAAAGAAAGAAAGAAAGAAAGAAAGAAAGAAAGAAATTATACTCACCTATATATTTAGCAATATATATATACTATCACATACTAGTTTACTGTAATTATTCTAATATTTACACACTTTCATTTATATATACACCAGAGCACCACAGGCTCCACTCCCGTCAGTCCCAGGAGGTATGGCCAATGGTCATGGATGATGGGAGTTGGTCAATACAGCATATAAAATGTCAAACATGAAAAACAAGAAGCTGGTTGCAAAGTACAAATCCACTCTACTGGACTTCAGTGCAAATTAAAGGTAAATTGGGCTGAGGAGGAATTTCCTTTACAACTTCTCAGAGTTTTCTGTCTTTACCTCATTGGAGACATGAGAGCAGCAACAGCGGAAACAAACTCCCTTTGCAATCACAGTCATGCAACTCCTTAAAGCCCAGAGCACCTGATTGCCTCGCCAAGATCCAAATGGATAAATTGAGATGTCTTTTCATTGTTCTCATTTTCTGGCTTGCAGAGAGCATTCGATGTCGTTGAGCGACAATAGAACACAACTTCTCACTTCTCATTCCAAGATGTGATCAGTTGGGGAGAGACATTCTCCACACAACTTCAGACTGAGTAAGTAGAGAGCAAGTGGAATCAACAAGGCTGATGGGGGAGACCTGAAACAAATTTGCTAATCATTTCCCCCCTTCAAACAGAAACCATCATGTCCTCCAGATGTTGCCAGACTACAACTCCCCTTATCACTGACCATGTTGGCTGGGACTGATGGGAGTTGGAGTTGAATAACATTTAAAGGGCATCTCATTGGCTATAGATGTTCTATTTCTGTAATAGTATTTGTGATGATTGATGCTTTTGAGTTTAACGATTTTAGGGGTAGGTTGTGATTATTCTACAATATTGTCAATTGTCTCCTGTCAAGCACAGAAGAAGGGCTGGCCCTACCATTAGGCAATATGAGGCAACTGCTTCAGGTGGCCAACTAACTCAGGATAATAATAATGGTGGTTATTATTATTATGATGATGATGGGAGGTAGTAGCAGCAGCCATCAGTTATCCCCCTGCTCTGGAGATCACAGCTGTGTGCCACACAGCCTGCCTTGCAAGAGAGAGGGCCATAGCTCAGTGAAAGAACAACCACTTTGCATGCAGCAACTCCCAAGTTCAATCCCTGGCATTGCCAGGAAGGGTAGGGAAGCCCTGGAGAGCCACTGCCAATCAGTGTAGACAATACCGAGCCAGATTGACCTGTAGGTCTGAGTCAGTACAATGCAGATTCCTATGTTTCTATGCAGTCACTAAACTAGTCTGCTGTCATCAGGTACAATGGAGGAAGATACTCTCCCATTGCCAGAGTCAACTGCTAGCCCAGTCAGTTTGATTCAGAGAGAAAGCAAGACAGAGAGAGACACACATAGAAAGCAGAGAGTGACTTCTAAAACCATAGCAACACTCTAAAAGTACCAAAATAGCAAAGTCAAGGGTGACTATGGGGTTGCATCTTGCTTCAGGCCGAGGAAGCTGGCATTTGTCCACAGGCAGCTTTCCAGTTCATGTGGCCAGCATGACTAAACTGCTTGTGGAGCAACGGAACACCGTGATGGAAACTAGAGCACACAGAAACACTGTTTCCCTTCCCGTCACAGCAGTACCTTTACTATAACCATGTTAGAGTGCTGACTGTCCCCAAAGGTACCTGATCCTGAAGCAAGAGGCTTTGAATTCTTGTTGTCCAGATATTTTGGGCTGCAACAACCATCACAGTACAGCCATGCTTACCTGAGCAGATTGGGATGGTGGAAAATTGAAAACATCTTGAGGACGCCAGGCTAGGAAAGGTTTCGACACTGGGTCTCTGACTTATATAGTTGTAAGTAAACACACACATTCCAAAATGATATCAACTCTCAGTGACTTTCTTCTAAAGGAAATCAAAGCCAAATAAATGGTACACTTCTCAAAATTCTCACTACTTAGAGGCATGAAGTGATCGTGACAAAAGGAAATGAAATGGGACAAGATTTTTTATATAAGCAAAAACATTCTCACAGGGAGCGGAAGGCATCTGGTAGAGGGGTAGCTGCTTGTGATATTTCATCTTTCTGGGGTTTGCAAGCTTGTACATTTCAGAAACCTACACAGCCTGTTGAACCAGATTGCCTGGATTTGGTTCCCTTTGGAATGAGATCCCTGGAGGCTTTCTGGCATTCTGTAATATGTGTGTTTATTTAAAAAGATACAATCTGAACAAAGGTGAAAGTAAGCATACTAGCAGACTGTCAATGTCCACTGTATCCCCCTCAGGTTCCCAGTGAACATTTCCAGACTTGTTTATTGTGCATGCATCCTGATTTAATTGTGGGGAGGTTAGGCAGCATTGCATCAATGAAGTGTAAACTCACACTTTCCTCTGCATTTTCTTCATCACAGAAAGTGCAATATTTTGGGAAGTGTATTGTACTGCAAGACCTCTGAACAGCTGTAATTGCTCAAGATGAGTTTGCCAGAATGTGACTGACTCTAATCTGAAAATAGCAACACTCTAATATTGCCAAGAGAGAGACGCGGGTGGCGCTGTGGGTTAAACCACAGAGCCTAGGACTTCCTGATCAGAAGGTTGGCGGTTCAAATCCCTGCTCCTGCCAACCTAGCAGTTCGAAAGCACGTCAAAATGCAAGTAGATAAATAGGTACCGCTCTGGCAGGAAGGTAAATGACATTTCTGTGTGCTGCTCTGGTT